TTTGCTAGGTCAAAAATAAAAAATTTCCCTTTCTCAGTCAAAACCCTAACTTTGACCATTTTGCCCTTTTGATGATCTAATCAAATTTCTTGAGGAATTATGGTCAAAACTTGATCAAATGATACATATGAGTTTATAATGTTGATATGGATAAAAAATTATGAAGTTTGACTGTAAATTGTCCACAATTGACTTTTTCCCCAATACAATTGATTTTTACGTCAACTGATCAATTGACTGAGTAAAAATGTTATCCAAGGCTTGAAACTTGACATGAGAAATATTGAGGGTCCATAATGATCCATGAAAGTAATATGATGCATTAAAAGTTCAATTATCCTTGTGCAATCTCAAACCCTAATTTCATTCATCAGTGCTTAAGGAGGTGTCTTGAGCTGATCAAACCTTGTGCGGTCTTGAACCAAAGGAGATCTTGTGAGAAAATATTTGATAAATGAGAGGGAAAATTTTGGGGTACAACAACTTCCCTTGTTCAATCTTCTTAAACCTGAAGAGTTAGATAGGTGGATCCGCCATTTGTGACTTGAAGGTGGAAGATGATTGGACACTAGAGTGCCCAGAAATTTGCACTCGAGGATGAAATGGGAATGGGCTTATAGATTCCATTTAGAGGAATGATGAAGATTTTCCGGAGATGGGCTTGTAGATGCCATCCAGGGGTGACTGTTGACAGAGAATGGACTAAGTCTGAACTTGATTTCAACTGGAAAAGAATCAGAATAAATCTTTGGAGCGACTTATCTGAACCAGAAGAAGTCTTGCATGTTGTTTGACTGAGAAGAATCAGAATAAATCGTTGAGAGATTTATCTGAACCCGAAGTTTTCCTTTGGAAAGTATCAAGATAAACCGTTGAGGGGTTTAAACTGAACCAAAAGAGATCTTGAATATTCTTTAACTTGGAAAGAATCAGAGTAAATCTTTGTGCGATTTATCTGAACCAGAGAAAGTGTCTGTGGGAAAGAATCAATATAAATCGTTGAGAGATTTATCTGAACCCGAAGTGTTCCTTTGGAAAGTATCAGGATAAACCGTTGAGGGGTTTAAACTGAACCAAAAGAGATCTTGAATATTATTTAACTGGAAAGAATCAGAGTAAAGCTTTGAGTGATTTATCTGAACCAGAGAAAGTGTCTGCGGGAAAGAATCAGAATAAATCGTTGAGAGATTTATCTGAACCCGAAGCATTCCGTTGGAAAGTATCAGGATAAACCATTGAGGGGTTTAAACTGAACCAAAAGAGATCTTGAATATTCTTTAACTGGAAAGAATCAGAGTAAATCTTTGAGTGACTTATCTGAACCAGAGAAAGTGTTTGCAGGAAAGAATCAAAATAAATCATTGAGAGATTTATCTGAACCCGAAGTGTTCCTTTGGAAAGTATCAGGGTAAACCATTAAGGGGTTTAAACTGGACCAAAAGAGAACTTGAATATTCTTTAACTGGAAAGAATCAGAGTAAATCTTTGAGTGATTTATCTGAACCAGAGAAAGACGTCTGTAGGAAAGAATCAGAATAAACCGTTGAGAGATTTAAACTGATCCAGCAGGGGTCTGAAAGAAATATCTGTTGTGTAGATGGTTCACCAGTCCTTTCTTGGGAATTGATCTATAATTGACTTGTTGAAAATTTGACGATAATTTTCTGTTGATTCATCTTTCCTAAAAAAGATGAAAGGTTAGTTGTATGCAATGTCATGATGTATGAAATTCATGGTGTAATGATGTTCTCAAAATAAATGAGATTGTGTCGTATGTATTTGTGTAGTCAATGCTATGACGTATGGATGTAATGTATGGACACATTAATTGTTATGCCGCAGTATTGCTGGAGTCAAGGAAAATAAATCTCTGAGCATTGTTGAGTGTAGGTCTTCATGTTTTGAAGTGCTGATGAGTTGATGAGCTTCCATTTGTTAGAGAAATAAACTCTATTGTGTAAAGGAAACACCGTGTGTTTCTTGTGAAATCCTGAGAAATTGGGCGACTTTCACTGAGGAATCTTAGGAGCGGTAACTGGAAGTTTTGTTCTGTCGGAGATGTGAGAGAGCTTGATATCATTAAGCTGCACACTGTGGGGGATTTTATGGAATAGTCTAAAGATATTATCCTATTTTTTAAAGCCATTAGTGATTGTCTTTCTATTTTTGTTCCTTTTTTGTTCATTTGTAAACAGTAGTTACGTTCAAATGCATATGTTCAAAAATAAATCATTGGACGTTTTTGTAAACAAAACATAGAAATAAAGAAAAATAGATAGTTTTTCACTTTCAAAGGGATATTTTTGTATTTAACTTGAATAAGTATTTTTGTACAATGAGACGAACATCCTAGTAATAGAATGTCATCATAGAAAAAATGAATGTTTGATAGAAAGAAAAGATAGCTATGTGAAATAATCCCATGGGGTTCCTCTTCTGCTATAGCCTTCGTGTCTCTGAGCGTCTTGTCCACTTCCTGCCTTGTCCGAAGTTGATTGGATTGATTAGACCCGTTGAGTTTGTCATTCGATGCTAACGGTTGTCTGTAAGGTGATCCGACGAGACATAGTCATACGCTTTAATTCCCTAACTTTTGCCTGGACCGCCCTTTTTGGTTTTCAGTCCACAGGGATACCCTTTTTTGCCCAAGCCGCCCTTTCGGGTTTTCAGCTTGCCGGGTGTGATACGGTGGGAGAACTGACTTGATTGTTTTGCGTTTGTGTTTGCAAATGTTGCGGTTTAGCAAGAGTCGCCACCGACTTTTCTTTTATCCAAAAGGAAAGGTGAAAAAGCACAGGAAAGACCTTTCGAGATGTTTTCTTGAGTTCGGGGGGTAGATTATGAAAAGGGAAGGTATTAGCACCCTTTTCATCCATGGTTTTCCATGGGCTCTTAGTTGCTTGCTAGATCACTTGCTTTTGTTTGAATATGTACTTTGTGATGTGGGTTTTGAAAGTATTTTGAAAATGTGACTTTGTAATGGTTCTCGTTTCTATAAGAACGCATACAAAGTGTTGTTTCGAAAATATTTTCAAGAAAGTGTTTCCGAGATGTGTTGTTTGAAAGTGATTTTGAAAAGGGTTTCCTTTGTAATGACTCTCATTTCTATAAGAACGCGTACAAAGTGTTGGCTTTTGAAAATGTTTTCAAAATGAAAGTGTTGGTGTATAAAAATGTTTTTGTTGTGAGCAAGCGAGCAACTAGGAGAAAATATACCTACTCAAAAGGTCTTAAATGTTATTTTCCTCCTCCTTTAGATGTTGCTATCTTACCATTGATTTGGTAAGAAGCCCCATCTTTGGATGTGAAGGGACGGGCGTTGGGTCATCGTATGACCATGATAGCAATGTTGTGAGATGACTTAGCATTTTTTCTTTAGGGACTGAGATCATTTTGAAAGGAAACTTTGATAGCGTCATTGAGGGACTATGATCTTATATTTTTGTTTGTGCTAAGACATCCCACATGCATAACATGGCCATTTTTAGGCAACAAGTGGAGTTAACCTTATGGGTGCTAGTGTGCAAGTGTGTTTGATTTGCATGTATTTAGTCTTGATTAGGGTGATCTATTTGTCAATTTCATGTCTTGCCATACACACCCTAATTACTAACATTTACATTCAAAAGCGATAAATTGCAGAAATGTAAAGTCCTACGCTATTACAATATTTAGGGGATGTGGGTACATATGTACGAATAAGGATTGCAAGTAAAATTAAATCATAAGTTACTATTACAACCATATTGAAATGTACCATATAAGAAAGAAATGGACTTGTTTAGAAAATATTTTTTGTCTTAAAAAAAAAGAAATAAATTAGTTAATAAAAGAAAATATTTTTATGTCTTTTTATGTTAATATTAAAAATGATGAAAACACTACGCCAAAAATGATTTTTTGTATCACCTAATTTAATAGCACTTTTAAAAAAAATGCTATTAAAATGGAAAAAACACATTTATAATAGCACTTTTTAATCGGGCGCTATTATATAATACAGACTATGTAATTTTGATAGCACTTTGTACCAAAACGCTATTATTAAACTTCTTTAAGATAGCATTTTGTATAAAACGCTATTATTTGACTACCTATATAATAGCATTTATTAAAAAGCGCTATGTTATATATAATAATGAATTAATTAATTAATTGATAAAAAAAAAAAAAACACATTTTCAGAAAATTGGGTGTTGGTGCTATTTAAGAAAACTTTATGGGTGATTTTGCCAGTTGCACGTCCAAACAACAAGACTGGAGACACCTCCTTGTCAATCGTCTCTGAGCTTTCCGATCTCCGCCGCTCTCAATCCGTGTCACTCCCGGTAAGTCATCCACCACCGTTCTCCGTTCTTTTCTCTTCTCTATAGCTTTGCCCCACTTGTATCAATCTCATTATCTCTTCTGGTTTGCCCGCAAAGTGTTTGATAAATGTTCTGACCATGGTTTTCTATCAACCTTAGAGAAAGAGGAATCATCAATAACACTATTCATTCTCCTCTAATAGTTTCCCTTTCAAATTGCTTATTTCTTTTAGGGAATAGTATTATGATAATTTGCTTACAAGCACCCAAAGAGTTCAACAAAGAGTACTGAAGGTTGGACCACAGTATGGTCCAAACCTGATAATATATGTCTTTATACTGTCAGTTCTGGTAGTGGTGTTTGTGGATACAATAGCTTCTGCACTTTGGGACAGGATAAGAGACCAACGTGTCAGTGTCCAAAAAGTTACTCTCTAGTTAATCCTGATGATCCATATGGTAGCTGCAAGCCAGATTTTATACAAGGATGTGAAGAAGATGAACTGAGTAAAAGAAAGGATCTCTATAACTTTGAGGTTTTGATTAACACTGATTGGCCTTTCTCAGATTCTGTGCTTCAAAGGCCTTTTACTGAAGAACTGTGTAAAGAAGCTTGTATGGGAGATTGCATGTGTTCTGTGGCTATTTTCAGGTTAGGTGATAGTTGTTGGATGAAGAAGTTACCACTCTCAAATGGGAAAGTTGATCCAACACTTAATGGTGCGCGCTAAGGCTTTCTTGAAAGTGAGAAAAGATAATACCTCCCTCCAGTCCTTTGATTTTCCTCCATTTCCAATCATTGCGAACAAGAATAATAATAGGGAAACGTTGGTTTTGGTTGTTTCTGTGCTTTTTGGTAGCTCTGCTATTCTCAATGCTGTATTGCTTGTAGCAATATGTTTCAGCACCTCCATGATTGTTCAGTACAAGAAGAAGCTTAGAAGAGTTAGCAGAAGTGAAACTAGTGTTGAAACCAATTTGCGTTGCTTCACTTACGAAGAGCTTGAAGAAGCTACTAATGGATTTGACAAAGAGCTAGGAAGGGGAGCTTTTGGTATAGTTTATGAAGGAGTCGTCAACAACACATGTTCCGAAACTCGTGTGGCTGTGAAAAAGTTGAACAATTTTTTGTTGGATCAAGCTCATAGAGAATTCAGGAATGAACTGAATGTCATTGGTCTCACTCATCATAAGAACTTAGTTCGTTTACTTGGATTTTGTGAGGGTGGAAGTGAAAGATTGCTTGTTTATGAGTACATGAGCAATGGCACTTTGGCAAGTTTACTTTTCAATGCTGATGAGAAACAGAAACCAAGTTGGAAACTAAGGCTTGAACTTGCAATAGGAATAGCAAGGGGACTTGTGTATTTACATGAAGAGTGCATTACTAGGATCATCCACTGTGACATAAAGCCTCAAAATATACTTCTTGATGATTACTTCAATGCAAGAATTTCTGACTTTGGACTAGCCAAGTTGATGAACATGAATCAAAGCAAAACCAACACTGGCATTAGGGGAACAAAAGGGTATGTTGCACTTGAATGGTTTAAGAACATGCCTATTGTTAAATGACATTTGGGAAAGTAGGAGTTAAAGTTTTCAAACTTAGGATTCTACTAAGAAATAGAAGTTTGTGGTAAAATGTAATTGTCAAACTTAGCACTTTGTTACATTTTATTTGGTTTGTGAAAGGTCACTGGCCGGTTTTGGTTTCAGTGCTACCTCTAATGCTGCTGCCACCTCACAGTTTGTGAGGGCTGAAATGCTCCCTACTAGCCACTTGGTTCGACCATACGAAGGTTGATCGGTATTGAAGTGACTGAAACCATTGAAATCAAAGAGATATGGTATGTTTTTAAGTCTAGATTAATGTATTTGTTTCATGCTGATGTGGTGTTTGATATTTGATTTCATTGTTGTTTTTTTTGCTTGATGAGCTGTGAGTGTAAAGTAATAGCATAGACTTTCTATTTTTGATCTTTGAATTTGATACATTAAATTTAGAGTTAACGTTGAATACTATAATGAATAAAAGACATAGTTATTGTAGAAAGAGATGATGAATTAAGGTGGTGAAGAAGAAGCATAGTTATTTCAAAACACTTTCAAGTATACCAAAACAATATGATCATGCTGCATGCATAGTATCTTAAAAGAATCAGAAGCATATGGAGTGAAAATGATGGCTTAGTTACCTTTTTGTATGCTAATATTAGGACCTTTTGTGCAATCAGATTTTTTCTTTGTTTCATTTTGTTTTAGTAGATTTGGCACCTCCATTGCATATCTATATTTCTTTCTTTTTCATCTCAGGCCATTGGGTTATTAATCACAGCTCAAGTGGATGTGTATAGTTATGGAGTAGTGCTACTTGAGATTATTTCATGTAGAAGATGTGTTCAAGAAATGGAACAAGAAGATGAAGAGAAAGCAATATTAACTGACTGGGCTTATGATTGCTACAAGGATGGTGCTGTAGATGCATTGGTTGAGGGTGACAATGAGGCATTGGATGACAAAGAAAAGTTGGAGAAATTGGTAATGATTGCAATTTGGTGTGTTCAAGAGGATCCAGTTCTTAGACCAAGCATGAGAAATGTGATACATATGCTTGAAGGTACTGTTGAAGTGCAAGTTCCAGCATACCCCTCACAAATTAGTATTCAATATTCTCTAATTTAATAACTTGGTTTGCAAGATTTGCAGATTGTGCTAATCCTTGTTTTATTGTTTTAATTGAAACTGTAAAATTTGAATTTATGTCTGTGTATCAAGCTGTGGTTTTTTGTTCCTTGAACAGTAGTATTTGAGGTTCAAGATTGATTAGTTTACTGGGTATGAATAAACTTGATTACCCAATTGTCTTGGATAATGTTAGTTTAATTATAAATTATCATATGTTTTCTACAAAATAAAATGCAACGTTAAATAGTTTACATATTATGATTAATCTAATTATATTTTACTAGATAGATTGCATTTCAAATCAATTTCCAGTTTGTGTGTTTGTACAATATTATGATTAATCTAATTATATTTTACTAGATAAAATGCATTTCAAAACAAACTTTCTGTACAAAATTATATTTTATTGGTTTAGAAGATATGGCACAGAAGATATTGTACTGTATTTATTAAAAATATTGTACCAAATATGTACCATTTATTAGCACTTTATTTGAAAGCGCTATCAAACATATGTTATATATTAGCGCTTTTTGTTTAGAGTGCTATAAAAAAACAAACAAAAAACATGCAAAATACTGACTTTGATAGCACTTTAATTAAAACGCTATTATAAATTGGTACTTTAATAGCGCTTTTAAAGTGCTATTAAATAAGAAATATTTACAATAGTGGCGCGGTTAATAGCACTTTTAAGCGCTATCAAAAACAAAAAAAAGCGCTATTAAATAGCTTATTTGGCGTAGTGAAAGGAAAATAAATGAAAGATAGAAACAGCGTACTGCTGCAAGAAAAACAATAAGGATCAGAAGTTCTGAAGCCAGGCGCGCTGTGACTCAGAAGGAAACGTCAGTGGGTATCAGAAGTTCTGGATTGGTAAACTCTGAGTCCTGCAAGACACATTAGAGGAAAAACACAGAAGTTTTGGATTGTTATATGCTGAACTTTTGAATGTTAGAATAGTGAGAAAACCTCAGAAGCTCTGTGCGTATCAAAACAGTAGGAAGAACTCAGAAGTTCTGTATGGTGCTAAGACAGTGAACGAACAATCAACAGTTCAGCATGTTATCAGCGCATGAAAATCAGAAGTTCAGTGTATGTGATATGTAAGGAGAACTCAGAAGTTCTGTGTTGTGTTAGAATAGTGAGTAAATCATAGAAGTTTTGTGTGTGTTAACAGCGTATGAAAATCAGAAGTTCTAAGTGTTAAAACAGTGAGTGAAAATAAGAAGTTCAGTGTGCATTAGCACTGAGTGAATATTATAAGTTATATATTTCAACTCTTAATCAGCACATTAGCAATTCATTCAGTTCTTATTAAACAACAAATCAGAAGGATAACAACACAACAACTTATAGAAGTTCTAATCCTAAATCTGAGTCTAGCCCTAATCAAGAAACTATGATCCACAGTTTTTCTACTTAAGAAATGATATGTACAACATTAATACTATGATATTTACATGTTAATGATATTCAGAATGAAAAACAAGCAAAGTCAGAAAGACTTACCTTGAACCTGGAGCTTGCTTGAAGCTTTGAGTTGCTGCCTTTGGATGTTTTGGAATCAACAAGAGTAACGGAAAAGAAAATGCCAAGTTCTTTGATTCAAAGGGAAGAACAAAGGTTTGGTTTTCTATTTGGGAAATCTGGATTTTTATGAAGGGTTTCACAGGTTGGTTTTCCAAAAGGCAGCCCCTTGAACGTGTGATAGAGCCAAGTATTTATAGGTGAATTTGTCGTGGTTTTGGGGGGAAAGACAAATGGGATTTGAACCTTTTTGGCACCCTATTCCCTTGCTTTTTCATCACTGTTTTCGTATGCTAGTTTGATGCAATTATGGGATGCAGGTGTAGGCTGAAATAACTGTTGGTTATAGGTCTGAAGCAGGTTGTATAAACAAGGTTTTGGGATTTGGTCATGTTCTGACCAAAGCGTTGAATATAACCTTCATATGCTGAAGCGCTGCCTTGTTCTTAAAGCAAGCATGGTGGTTGTCAGCAAGAATTAAGGAAAAGCAAAAAGCAAAGTATGGGCTTAATACCAAAGTTTGCTATCCCAAGACAGTAGAGGTACACGTGGTGAAAATCCTTTGGATAAAGACTCAGAAAGTGGTTGTGAGCATTAAATGATGATGAGACTTATCACAACCAGAAATCTTGTAACGTGAGATTCTACACCATGGATTAGTTCTAGATTAGAAGTTTTGCTTCTGCATAGCATCCATCCTCTGATCTTTGTATCTTCTGGCTCCAGCACGTTCTGAAGGAACTTTCAGACTTTCTAGAAAGCTTGCAACATGCTTCTTAACCTTCTTTGAATTACCCTGGCAAACTCTGACTGAAGCTTTTGTGAAAACTTGCCCAGAAGTTCTGACCAAACTCTGCCTTGAGAGTGTCCAGAATTTGCTGAGCGTTATAGTGATAATCTGGTCAGAAGTTCTGAGTTTTGTCATGCTTCTTAAACACTTAGAAAAAAAATTCTAAGTACTTAGAATTTTGACTTTTTGGATTTTGATGAAACAAAACTTCATATTTCAACGTGTCTTAATGAAATATAATTCTTGAAGCTTGATTTTCATCCAAAAGTCAAAGTTTGACTTTTCAGTGTGCAAATGACCATTTTGCCCTTGTGAGTGATTTGCTTGGAAAAATTGATAGTTCAAGGCCTGGAAACTTGATAGAAGCAAACCTGGGATCCAGGGTGATCCCTTGAGAAATGAGAGGGCAAATTTTGGGGTACAACAACTGCCCCTGTTCAATCTTCTTACACCTGAAGAATTAGATTGGTAATTCTGCCATTCGTGATTTGAAGGTGGAAGATGATTGAACACTAGAGTGCCCAGAAATTTTCACTCGATGATGTTGTGATTGATTGTGTAGGGAATGGGCTTAAAGATGCCATTTAGAGCGATAATGGATAGTTGTCGGAGATGGGCTTAAATATGCCATCCAGAGGTGATTGTTGAACTGTATTTGAGAGGGAATTTGAATGAGTGACAGAATGACATCCGAATATGGATCGTATTTGGACTGTATTTGAAAGAGTGACAGAATGCCATCCGAATCTGGATCGTATATGGACTATATTTGAATGAGTTACAGAATGACATTCGAATCTGGATCGTATCTGGATTGTATTTGAATGAGTGACAGAATGACATCTGAATCTGGATCGTATCTGGACTGTATTTGAAGGAATCTGAAGTAAGTATCAGAATGTCATCCATATCTGGATTGCATCTGAACTGTTTCTAGAAGAGAATCTGGAGTAAGTATCAGAATGCCAGCCATATCTGGATCGCATCTGAACTGTCTCTAGAAAAGGTCTCTGGTTGCCTGCGTAGGGTTGCTTCATGATCAAATAGATAGTTGTCCTGTCTGGTTTTAGGTATTAATCTACAATCAGTCGTCCACAAATAGTTTTCCTGGCTTGTTACAGGTATTAATATGGAACTTGGAAAGGTTGTTCGATGAGATAGTTGTCTTGTCTGGTTTCAGGTATTAATCTCTGACCTGAGAAAGAAAGATAGTTTTCCTGGCTTGTTACAGGTGTTAATCTTCAATCTCTCCATGTAGATAGTTTTCCTGGCTTGTTACAGATATTAATCTATAATCAGTCGTCCACAAATAGTTTTCCTGGCTTGTTACAGGTATTAATCTGGAACTTGAAAAGGTTGGTCGATGAGATAGTTATCTTGTCTGGTTTCAGGTATTAATCTCTGACCTGAGAAAGAAAGATAGTTTTCCTGGCTTGTTACATGTGTTAATCTTCAATCTCTTCATGTAGATAGTTTTCCTGGCTTGTTACAGGTATTAATCTACAATCAGTCGTCCACAAATAGTTTTCCTGGCTTGTTACAGGTATTAATCTGGAACTTGAAAAGG